TGCAGGCCGGGTGATTGGCCCCTTCCCCAGTCCCGGCCCTGCTGTGCTTCTGCCATGGCGCATGCTCCTAACCCTGAACAACCCACGGCAGCTTCTAGCCCCGCATCTGGAAGAAGGCCCCTTTCCAAGCAATCTCACATTTACTGGTTGTTCTGGGAATAAGCGGCTAAATGTATATTTCGGGGGTATCCTCCAACAACAGTTTGTTGGCCACAGTTTGAAAAGGAAAGGAATGAGCGGGAGTTCTGCATGTGAGTTCTCAAGAAAAGGAAAGGGAGGCTGAGCAGTGCCTGAAGCCATGCAGCCTTGAGACAAGCTGTGAGCGTCCCATCCGCCGCCCCAGCGCTGCTGGTAGCCAGGGGAGGGGTCTGCACAGTGAGAAGTACTGTGATGACTTTGAGCCGTTGACATGTATGTTTTCAGATGCCTTTCTGCCTCTATCGATTTTAGGGTATGGATATTAGGAGCCATAACTTGTAATCTTGTTCTCTGAACGTAGAGATAAGCTGCTATATAAAGCCAGTAGATGTTAAACTGAAGAGAAACTATTCTCACCTGCTATGAGTCAGGCTCAAGGAACCTCTTCACTCCAATAGTGTCTCCTTAGTAAAATACCAAACATGTCTTTGTATCAAGGAACTTAAAATTTCTCAACAATTGTATTTTGAACACTGTTACCCTAAAAGTGCTGTCTCTTCAAGTCATCTTTTGCAGCAAGTGAGCCAAGACTTGTTCTAGACTCCCATTTTGCAAAAGGCTTACTTTCCACTTCTGGCCTATATTTTGATATCTCATCTTCATTGTTTTCACTCTTAACTTACAGCTGCTTCACCAGTATCGGGGTCAGACTGGCCATCAGCACCTGAGCGTACTGAGCTCCAGGTATAGTGGACCCCAGCCTGGCTCATACCAGCCAGTTAGCTACCTTTTATTTTTCAGGGCAGAACCACCAATGGTTCTGAGTTTGAGTTTGGACAGTTTCAAAGAGTGGTCCGTTCAAACGTCAAAGCAAGGTGCCTTTGGTGGCTTTGTGAAGGGTGAAAATCAGTGATGGGACATTTACTAAGTTAGTATTTCTTTTCTTTTTTTGAGACGGAGTTTCGCTCTTGTTGCCCAGGCTGGAGTGCAATGGCACAATCTCAGTTCACCGCAACCTCTGCCTCCCAGGTTCAAGCAATTCTCCTGCCTCAGCCTCCCTAGTAGCTGGGATTACAGATATGTGCCACCACGCCCGGCTAATTTTGTATTTATAGTAGAGACTGGGTTTCTCCATGTTGGTCAGGCTGGTCTCGAACTCCTGACCTCAGGTGATCCGCCGTCCTCGGCCTCCCAAAGTGCTGGGGTTACAGGTATGAACCACCGCGCCCGGCTAAGTTAGTATTTTTTTAATCATAATGCTTTAAACTAAGCCACTTGGATCCTGAATAATTTAAATCTTGAGCTACAATGGTAAGTAATAAATTATTTAAGGCCAGGAAATCTGTAGTTTTCATGGAGTCTGTAGCTTTATTAAAAAATAAATCACTTCCAGGCTTCATTCTTCCATATGATCCTCTAAAAATGGACACTTCCTCTGAATGCTGTATCTCATGGCACCTGGTCCAACTAGAAGTGGTCAGGGAATTCATCTGGCTCCTTGATACATCAGTCCTCAAAATTACTTTCTGGCTCTTTTATGGCCAGATTGCTTATGTGAGTAGTCTTTTGGTTTGGTAGTAAGTTTTTATTTTTAATTTCTGTACTAACGAAATTCCTGACTTTAATTTCTAAAAACCAAAAACTCTCCAAGTTTATTTATTTATATTTTTTTTAAATGGAGACAAGGTCTTGCTGTGTTGCCCAGGTGGGTCCCAAACTCCTGGCCTCAAGCAGTCCTTCCACCTTGGCCTCCTAAAGTGCTGGGATTATCAGTATGAGCCACCATGCCAGATTCGTTCATTTTTTAAAATTTCTATCTCTTCAAGTCATCTTTTGATCTTTTAAAAAGCACCTTCAAACAGCTGCGCCTTCCATTTACACTAGGAAAGGGAAGTAGTGCTGGGGTTGGCAATGTTTCTGGCAGATGTTTCAGCCCAAAAACTCTTCTACAGACGGGTTTAGAGCTGGTGCCCTATGAGAATATTAGGGAACTTTTATTTTAAATTGAACTTTACCCTTGTCCATGCAAGGCATTCCTCCTGAATGCATCCATGAATTTGTTTACTTTTGTGTCAAACGTATGAGCCATTGTCCTGCTCAGCCTGTGCCACCATTGCTCTGTCTGATGTCTGATATATGTAATCATACAAGACCCGATTTTGGTTCTAACACAGTGGTCTCTGACTGTCAACATTGATGTTTTTAGAGATGGGTTCTTCTGGTTGATACAGACTATGCATCGTGTTTAGCAGATGGGGTGAAACTGGCCTAAAACAAATCTTTGCAGAATACATGCCAATTTAAAAAAAAAAAATTATTGCTCAGGTGTTGGTTGCACAATTTTTATCTAACACTGAGGCTATCAGCTCCAACTAAACAACATTTCAGGGGGTGAGGTTGCCCTAACTTCCATTAGGGGCCATGGTCTCACTGCCATCACTTATTAGCCATGAGAATTTGGTTGTAGTTTTCAGGTAGGTTGGTTTCTTCCTCATTTGCAGCCTGTTGATACTTGTTCCCTTTTATTTATTAACATCCCAATCAATTTGCAGCCGCTATCGTTATATAAATATTTTTCTGTTATAAAAAGAAGTGTGATCTGACTGTTTTTTTAGTGATTTCCTTGGTTTGGGAATAGAGATTGGAAGCACATGCACATACTCAGACCTGTTTTGTTAACTAGAATTTTTTTTTTTTTTGAGACGGAGTCTTGCTTTGTGGCCCAGGCTCGAGTGCAATGGCACAATCTCAGCTCACTGCAACCTCTGCCTCCCAGGTTCAAGCAATTCTCCTGTCTCAGCCTCCTGAGTAGCTGGGATTACAGGTGCCCACCACCACGCCCGGCTAATTTTTGTATTTTTAGTAGAGATGGAGTTTCACCATGTTGGTCAGACTGGTCTCGAACTCCTGACCTCGTGATCCGCCCGCCTCAGCCTCCCAATAACTAAAATTCTTTAAAAGCTGATACCAAACATCTTTACAGATGAACTGTAGTTTACATCCAGCTGTCTGACATTGTCCCCTAAAAACAAGTGCAGTGTGGCAGCTGCTGAATCTGTCTGTTCAGTTTGTCAAGGAAGATGATTGTACTTGGGAGAGATCTAAAAAGAAGGTGAATATTTTGCACTTTTGATACTCTTAGGAACAAATAACTTATTTGTCAAATTGTTTCTTTTTTATGTTTTGGGTGGTTTTTTGTTTTTTGACTTTTTTTGTATTGTGAACAGGCACTGAAGCTAATGTTATTTTAAGATTACAGAATGGAAAAAGAAATAAACTATTTTAATGTGTGATAATTATGGGGTGGCCCTTGCATTGCAAGATGATGATTTGATTATGGACACATTATCAACAGAATTGAATTTGCATGTAACTCAGCACATGCTTAAGATCACCACAACTGAACTGCAGATTTCAGGAATTGCTGTCATAGAGGGTACATCAACTTGAGAGGAGATTGAGTCTTACAGGAAATGAGTTACAATAAGTAACATGAAGAGCCCAGCTGCCAGCCTGGCCAACATGGTGAAACCCCGTCTCTACTAAAAATACAAAAATTAGCTGGGCGTGGTGACGCACAACTGTAATCCTAGCTACTCAGGAGGCTGAGGCAGGAGAATTGCTTGAACCTAGGAGGGGAGATTGCAGTGAGCTAAGATCGGGCCACTGCACTCCAGCCTGGGGAACAGAGCTAGACTCCGTCTCAAAAAAAAAAAAAAAAAAAAACCCAGCTGATGTTTTCTAGTTTTGTTTTGTTTTCTGGGGTTTTTTGTTTTTGTTTTTTTTCTTTTTAGTAGAGACAGGGATTCACCATGTTGGCCAGGCTGGTCTTGAACTCCTGACCTCAGGTGATCCACCCGCCTAGGCCTGGGATTATAGGCATGAGCCACTGGATCCGGCCTGGTTTTTGTTTGTTTGTTTTAAGAGATGGAGTCTCGCTCTGTCACCCAGGCTGGAGTGCAGTGGCATGACCTCAGCTCACTGCAACCTCCACCTCCCGGGTTCAAGCGATTCTCCTGCCTCAACTTCTTGAGTAGCTGGAACTACAGGCACGCGCCACCACGCCGGGCTAATTTTTGTATTTTCAGTAGAGATGGGTTTTCACCATGTTGGCCAGGCTGGTCTCGCACTCCTGACCTCAAGTGATCTGCCCGCCTCAGCCCCCCAAAGTGCTGGGATTACAGGCATGAGCCACCTTGTCCGGCCTTAGGTTTTCTAGTTTAGAAAACATTGTGTGTACCCTTCTAGGCTTCTGAGCAAGAAGTTTCTTCACTGGGCTCTCCGTGTTATTTTATACTTTTTAGTTAACATTCATAGTGGTTCTAAAACCAAGATGCAGCCCTAAGCACCTCATAGGAGGAGAGGAGGAGCTGTTTTCCTTTTTTTTTTTTGAGATGGAGTCTTGCCCTGTCACCCAGGCTGGAGTGTACTGGTGTGATCTCAGCTCACTGCAGCATCCGAGGAGGAGCTATATTTTAAAGGAAGATAGTCAATACTCTAAGAAGCAGATCATCAAAATTTTTAAAAGCAGCCGGGCGCAGTGCCCATGCCTGTAATCCCAGCACTTTAGGAGGCTGAGGCGGGTGGATCACCTTAGGTCAGGAGTTCAAGACCAGCCTGGCCAATGTAGTGAAACTCCATCTCTACTAAAAATACAAAAATTAGCCAGGTATGGTGGCGGGCGCCTGTAATCCCAGCTCCTCAGGAGGCTGAGGTAGGTGAATCGCTTGAACTTAGGAGGTGGAGGTTGCAATGAACCGAGATCATGCCATTGCACTCCAGCCTGGGTGACAAGAGCAAAACTCTCTCAAAAAAAAAAAAAAAAAAAAAAAGATATAGAAATATGGAATGCTTATACAGTATTATTTCATAGTTTTTTTTAATTTCATGTTTCTAATGTTTAGATAATCTTAAAAGAAATTCTCCACACTTCCCCTTTATCCTCCATCTTTCATCAAAGGGAAAAAAAACAGTATAAGTACTCTTTTTTCTTTTTTCCAATTAATCCAAGTTCCTTAGAAATATTGCTGTTTGGGTGAGAGTTCTACTGAATATCCCGATTTCACAGCCAGCAATGACACTTTCAGCAGAAAGTTTTCTTGGCATCAACTCTTTAGTTCTCAGACTGCTTACTCATAAGTTCTTCTTGAGAACTTGTCAGCGACGCAATCTGTTTTGTCTTGAAGAGCACAAGACTCAGACGGTTGTCACTTTGGGGAGAGCACACAGCATCTCAAACAGCAGGTTAGCCGCCAGCAGGGCTGTGTTCCCTACGAAGAAGTAAAACCTGACATGAATACCCTGCAGACCACCCCCTGAGCCAAGCCTTGGGACTCCTCAGCTTTCTTCCCCTTGTGCCTCCTTTTCCAGAGCCCTGTCTTGTGCACCCCTCTAGGGTGCCCACCAGCTGTGAACACTCGGCCCAGGCTCTCTGCCTCCATCAAGCATCATTTGGGAATCATATTTTAAAATTCAGAAAGTTCTTTGTTTACCCTGAGAACAGATTTTTCCCAGAGGAGAACCTGTAATAATGATGTGTACTGTATATATTATCTACCCTTTGAGGTCGATAGGCCTAACTCCATAAGTTTATCTACATTAAAATTATTGGGATGGCATCTGCTTCCAAGATCTTAACCAGCTAAGTTCCTACTTGATAAATATTAACATATATTATTTATGCTTTAGAATTCACTTTGCAATGAAACATCAAAGGAGAAGGGGACTGGGCCACTCTGTCACTAGACTGCAGGCTGGTTTCTTTCTCTTCTGCTGATTGGTGGGCAAGCTAATAACACTTAGCTACCTCCTAGGGGTTTTGTTAGGGTCAATGAGCTCATATTTGTAAGGTGTGCAGTAATAGGTGTGTTTTCTTCACCATTGGGCATGCTCAGCCACTTCCCCGAGTCATATAAGGGACTCATCCATTTTCTTTCTTTCTTTTTCTCTTTTTTTTTTTGAGATGGAGTCTCACTCTGTCACCCAGGCTGGAGTGCAGTGGTGCAATCACAGCTCACTGCAACCTCCGCCTCCCGGGTTCAAGCGATTCTCCTGCCTCAGCCTCCCGAGTACCTGGGATTACAGGTGTGTGCCACCACACCTGGCTAATTTTTGTATCTTCAGTAGTGATGAGGTTTCACCATATTGGCCAGGCTGGTCTTGAACTCCTGACCTGAGGTGATCTGCCCACCTCAGCCTCCCAAAGTGCTGGGATTACAGGCATGAGCCACCACGCCCAGCCCCATTTTCTGCTTATTAACTAGCTTCATGTAATTTAAGCTGCCAACTGCCCATGGATCACAGTCTTCTTGCTTACTCACCAGAAAGATCATACGGTGGTGAAACTTCGACAAGATCACAGCCCACCACGTTCAGGCCTTGACAACCCCGGATGATTTCCAGAGCCTATTCAAGATCAAGACTGCGTTGTCCACAGTGGTAATCCTTTACAGTGAAAAGCACCCAGCAGAGCTTTTCCCAGCACACGCCACCCTTTGACTTGGAATTGGCTTTCCCTCCATAAACATTTCTTGACTGCCAGGCACACTGGCAGGCCTCCCAGAGGCACAGATAATGCTTACACAGTCCCTGCTCCTGAGGGCTGCATGGTGTGGTGATGGAGACAAGGAAACCAATCGTTTGAATGTCTTGCACCAAGGGCTTCAAGAAAAGCAAGCCCAGAATGGTATCAGCACAGGTAACAGCCTGGAGAGGTGGGTAAGGCTTCCCCAAAGTGGAAATACCCAGTTCAAGGGATAGACCAGGCAGAGGGAAAAACACAGGCAAAGGCACCAAGATGGGAAAAGTTCAGGTGGTGAGATGTGGCCAGAAGACAGAATAAGTGAGGGAGACTAATGGGAAGAGAGTGACCTTGTCTGAAAGGGTTTCCATCCTGCAGGTGAAAAGCCCAGAAGGTTGCTAAGCAGAGGGATGAAGAATGTGTTTCAGAAATCCCTCATGAGAAGAGAGGATGGTTATAGCCATTTCAAGAGACAGAGTTACGGCCACCTCCTTTAAGATGTTAGAGGATGTAAGCTACTTGATTAGGTTTAAGCAGTCTTCGTTCATTTACTCTCACATGTCTTTGAGTGCCTACTATTTGTATGTATCAGGCACTGTCGTAGACTCCAAGGACAAGGTAGGGAACAATACATAGGTCCTGCCCTCGGGGAGCTTCTAGTCATAACCATTCTGCCTCCATGCATTTACTCCCCGCACACATTACTGGAGCTTTATTTGGGTGTGTCTAAAACTCCTGAGCTCCTACCTTGGTAGGTAGTGTGCCATCGCATGCACTTTATTTATTTTTGAGTCAGGGTCTCTGTCACCCAGGCTGTAGTGCAGTGGTGTGATCATGGCTCACTGAAGGCTTGACCTGCCAAACTCAACTGATCCTCCTACCCCACCCTCCCTAGTAGCTGGGACTACAGGTGCACACTAGCACACCAGACTAATTTTTATTTTTATTTTTAGTAAAGGTGGGATCTCACTATGTTGCCTAGGCTGGGCTCAAACTCCTGGGCTCCCAAAGTGCTGAGGTACTCCCTGAGCCACTGCACCCAGCCCATTGTATGCACTTTTATTTAAATTTAACCCTAAAAAGATAAGTTTAGTGTTTTTTTTTTGTTTTGAGATGGAGTTTCGCTCCTGTTGCCCAGACTGGAGTGCAATGGCACAATCTCGGCTCACCACAACCTCAGCCTCCCAGGTTCAAGTGATTCTTCTGCCCCAGCCTCCCAAGTAGCTGGAATTACAGGCATGCACCACCACACCCGGTTAATTTTGTATTTTTAGTAGAGATGGGGTTTCTCCATGTTAGACTGGTCTCAAACTCCTGACCTCAGGTGATCCACCCGCCTCGTGCCTCGGCCTCCCAAAGTGCTGGGATTACAGGTGTGAGCCACTGCCCCGGCCAAGTTTAGTGTTTTTGTTTGTTTGGATTTTTTTGAGGTGGAGTCTTGCTCTGTTGCCCAGGCTGCAGTGCAGTGGCACGATCTCGGCTCACTGCAACCTCCGCCTCCAGGGTTCAAGTAATTCTCCTGCCTCAGCCTCCCAAGTAGCTGGGATTACAGGCGCCTGCCACTGCGCCCGGCTAATTTTTGCACTTTTAGTAGAGACAGAGTTTCACCATCTTGGCCAGGCTGCTCTCAAACTCCTGACCTTGTGATCCACCCACCTCGGCCTCCCGAAGAGCTGGGATTCCAGGCGTGAGCCACGGCACCTGGCCAAGTTTAGTGTTCTTAAGAGAGGATACTATAATGTTCCCATGAACTGTTGTTCTCGTGAGAGATGAACTGAAGGCAGGAAGAGCAAATAAAGGATGAAATAAAGGACTGTTACATCCCAGACAGGAAACGAAGGCCCTTGCCAAAATCAATCACCGTTCAGTAAGAGAGTATTCAAACTTATCCTCACCCTGGAGAACAGTAAAGGCCTAGGTGCTCTGCTCTTAAGATCCTGTCTTGGCAGCCGTGCGCGGTGGCTCACACCTGTAATCCCAGCACTGGGAGGCCGAGATGGGTGGATCACGAGGTCAGGAGTTTGAGACCAGCCTGACCAACATGGTGAAAGCCCATCTCTACTAAAAATACAAAAATTAGCCGGGCGTAGTGGCGTGTGCCTGTAATCCCAGCTACTCAGGAGGCTGAGGCAGAAGAATCACTTGAACCTGGGAGGCAGAGGTTGCAGTGAGCTGAGATCGTGCCACTGCATTCCATTCTGGGCGACAGAGTGAGACTCCATCTCAAACAAACAAAAATCCTATCTTGATTCCTAAAGATTCGCTTCAAGGCCCAGGAAAATGGGTGTTAAGTATCTCCACCCTCAGGAATCTTCACTGGAGTCTCCTTACCTGACTAGGAGTGAGACCAGCAATTTCAGGTGTCCCTGTCCCTGGGGCATAGGCAGGATCCAGAGCGTCAATATCAAAGCTGATATAAATGGGTTTGCCTCCCATCTGCTGCCTGACTTCTGCCATCAGAGGAACCAGCGACTTCATCCAGCAGTCTTCAGCCAGAACTACCCGGAAGCCCTGTGGAGACAGGGACTGAGGCTTCTGCCTGGCAGCCTTTACAGGGCACTTCCTGTTTGCCAGCCCCCTGCTCAGCTCTATGTGCACATCACACTTGACCCTCCATCTCCGTGAGGAGGGAACTATCATCCTATTTTCCAGGTGAGGAAGGGAGGGACAATGAGTGGTAAGGAAGCAGGGTCAAAGCTGACTGATGGATTTGGGGTCAGAGAGAAGCTCTGCTAAAGCAAGAGTGGGAAACTCAGCAGCTCACGCTAGCACCTTCTGAATTGCTCTGTCCAGAAGACTGGCCTTGGCACATTCTAAAAGCAAGGGATTTGGGTCTTTCCCATGGGGTCTTGTCACACATGTGTACCTGAGAGCCGTTCTGCCTAGAGGGTATGAGGACCGGAACTAAGAAGGTGGCAACTCCTCTTGGGTCCAGACCTCCTCCCCTCTTTTTTTTTTTTTTTTTTTTTTTTTGAGACGAAGTCTCACTCTGTCGCCCAGGCTGGAGTGCTGTGGCACGATCTCAGCTCACTGCAAGCTCCGCCTCGCAGGTTCAAGCAATTCTCCTGCCTCAGCCTCCCGAGTAGCTGGGATTACAGATGCGTGCCACCAGGCCCGGCTAATTTTTGTATTTTCAATAGAGACGGGGTTTCACCATGTTGGCCAGGCTGGTCTCGAACTCCTGACCTCAGGTGATCCGCCCACCTCAGCCTCCCAAAGTGCTGGGATTACAGGCTTGAGCCACCGCGCCCAGCCTCCTCCCCTCTTCTAAGCCAGCACCCTCCAAAGGGGTTGGTCGATTTCTGCTTGTCTCCCCACCCCAGCAATAGACTTCCCGTGGCCCATAAACCAACCTCCTCACTCCTGTGCTCCGTATGCCCCTGAGGATGCAAACTCAGGCTCTTATCCCTGCTTTCAGACTTGATTAGGAAAGCCCCTGCTGAATCCCTGGTTGCCACGGGTGAGGCAATGGAGAGGAAGGCATTTTGGGGGGCAGGGGTGGGGGGCATTCGGTCTGTCACCTGGCTCCGGTTGTATCTGTAGGGATCCAACGTTGTGGAATAGCCCCGGATGCCAATCTGCGCCACCCGCTTACAGTCCAGGAGACCCTCATCCACGCACCGGCGGAAGGGCGCCCCATGGTAGAGCTTCTCTCCTAGGGCCTCGTCGGCCGTGTCCGTGTGCGCATCCACATGCAGCAGCCCCACTGGGCCATGCCTGATGACAACAGGGCAGCTCAGAGGCCAACCCTCCCTGTGGGGCCCTAGCACAGCCACCCTTCAGGCCACCAAAACTTGGTGACGATTCACAGCCACAAAGGGGAGACCTGGCATCCATTTTCTGCCTTGCAACTGGTTCCTGTCTTCTTGAGATCACTTAACATCTCAGAAGAACAATAAACTCACAGGAGTCAGGCAGGAAATAGACATGTTTTGGCTGCCACCCACACCTAACACCCAGAATATGCTTAATTTAGAGACAGGATGAGAATCCAGGGTGGTGGCACAGGCGAGCTTGGCTGAAGGCTCAACTAACCAAGACATACCCTTTCTCCGACCGAGGAAGAGGAAGCTTCAATCCAGCTCTCTCCATAACCTCCATCAACCCCTGCCAGTCACCCAAAATAAACGTATGATCCAAATCCGTGAGAAATAAATGTAGCTTTGAGCAAAGACCTGCACCCACCCACCTCCAACCAGAATGCCGCCCACATGTGCTTCCATAGACACATTCTGGAGCTGCCACCCTCCACCCCGGTCCTTCTGTCTCTTTCTCAAACTAAATTAGCCAAAGTCGGCCGACCCCGGGTAGACTTCCACTACTGGCAAATCAGTCTTTTGATTGTCTGGGAAAGGTGCCCTTTTAGAAGGAAACAAGGGCCTCTCAGCAAGCTCCACCATTGTGCCTGTCAGTGTTTGTTTTTGGCCCTTGAACCAAAACAGAAACTGAAGTTAACTGAGGTTGTGTATTTCACTAGAGGCTCATCTTCCAAAAGCAGAGGCAAGTTGAAAATGCTGAGCACACATACCAGGACAGATCTAGGGCAAGGGAGGGTGGCCAGAAATGTTAATAATAAATTGTCTTGGCTTCTAGCTGGTGACTGACAGAGACGCCTGGAGCTCAACCTTAATTTTGATCCCCAGAAGCAGCTCATAACCTGAGCCAGCAGCAGTCACCTAATGCCACCTAATAGCAAACAACTCAGTCCCTAGCTTCTGGCTTTTGAAACCTTGCTGGGCCAAGCCATTTGGGACTTACTTTTTTGCCATCGCTTGCAATATGGGATATGTGATTGTGTGATCTCCACCTGCAAAGAGGAAGAAGAAAAACGTGTGAAAAGTGAATTGGAGGATTACATAGAATAATCTTTTTTTTTTTGAGATGTAGTTTTGCTCTAACTCTTGCCCAGGCTGGAGTTCAATGGCGCAATCTCGGCTCACTGCAACCTCTGCCTCACAGGTTCAAGCGATTCTCCTGCCTCAGCCTCCTGAGTAGCTGGGATTACAGGTGTGCACCACCATATCTGGCTAATTTTGTATTTTTAGTAGAGAGTTAATTTCACCATGTTGGTCAGGCTGGTCTCAAACTCCTGACCTCAAGTGATCCACTTGCCTCGGCCTCCCAAAGTGCTGGGATTACAGGCGTGAGCCACCGTGCCCAGCTGAATAATCTTAACCCAATTTTCACCTTTTCAGACTGGGGAGCTATAACCACAGCTACAATAAGATCTTATTGAATGGTGGGCTGCCTAATGAACCTGGGAGGTCAAGGCTGCAGTAAGCTGTGATCGTGCCACTGCACTCCAGCCTGGGCGACAGAGTAAGACACGATCTCAAAAATATGAGTAGCTTGCCGGGCACGGTGGTTAATGCCTGTAATCCCAGCACTTTGGGAGGCCAAGGCGGGCAGGTCACCTGATGTTGGGAGTTCAAGACCAGCCTGACCAACATGGAGAAACCCCATCTCTACTGAAAATACAAAATTAGCCGGGCGTGGTAGCCTGTAATCCCGGCTACTCCGGAGGCTGAGGCAGGAGAATCACTTGAACCCAGGAGGCAGAGGTTACGGTGAGCCGAGATCACGCCATTGCACTCCAGCCTAGGCAACAAGGGTGCAACTCCATCTCAAAAATAAATAAATAAATAAATAAATAGCTTGAGCCTAGGAGTTTGAGACCAGCCTGGGCAACATAGCAAGACCATGTCTCTAAAAAGTAAAAGCAAAAATAGGCCAGGCGCAGTGGCTCACACCTATAATCCCAACACTTTGGGAGGCCAAGACAAGCAGATCATCTGAGCCCAGGAATTCAAGGTCCACCTGGGCAACACATTAAGACCCCATCTCTGCAAAAAATACAAAAATTAGCCCGGCATGGTGGCAAACTCCTGTAGACCCAGTTACTCAGGAAGCTGGAGTGGAAGGGTCACCTGAGCCCAGGGAGGACAAGGTTGCAGCGAGCCATGACGGCGCCACTGCACTCCAGTCTGGGTGACAGAGTGAGACCTTGTCTCAAAACTAAATAAATAAAAGAGAAAATTAGACAAGAGCTACTTTAGGAATTGCCTTTGCCGCGTATTCTAAGAAAACGCCTAGAATAGCTCTGTTCAATAGAAACGTCTATCATGATGACAATGTTCTATCTGCACTGGCCCATATAGTAACCACTCTCCACATGTGACACACATGTGACATACATATAGCTAATATGACTAAGAAACTGAGTATTTTATTTTAATTAATTTAAATTTAGGCCGGGCGCGGTGGCTCATGCCTGTAATCCCAGCATTTGGGGAGGCTGAGGCGGGCGGATCACCTGAGGTCAGGAGTTCGAGACCAGCCTTGCCAACATGGTGAAACCCTGTTTCTACTAAAAATACAAAAAATTAGCTGGGCATGGTGGCACGCACCTGTAATCCCAGCTATTCAGGAGGCTGAGGCAGGAGAATTGCTTGAACCCAGGAGGTGGAGGTTGCAGTGAGCCAAGCTGGGCAACAAGAGCAAAATTCCGTCTCAAAAAAAAAAAAAAATAGAATTTAAGTAGCCACATATGGCTAGTGGCTACCCTACTGGACAGCACAGACCTAGGAAAGTATTCTTTCTGATAATAATAATAGCTAACATCTATTGAAGCTTAAGATATGCCATGCATAGGTCGGGCGTGGTGGCTCACGCCTGTAATCCCAACATTTTGGGAGGCCAAGGAGGGTAGATCACCTGAGGTCAGGAATTCGAGACCAGCCTGACCAATATGATGAAACCCCGTCTCTACTGAAAATACAAAAATTAGCCGGCCATGGTGGCGGGTGCCTATAATCTCAGCTATTCAGGAGGCTGAGACAGGAGAATTGCTTGAATCCGGGAGGCGGAGGTTGCAGTGAGCTGAGATTGTGCCATTGCACTCCAGCCTGGGCAACAAGAGCAAAATTCTGTCTAAAAAAAAAAAAAAAGATATGCCATGCAGGCATTTCATGTGTACTTTCATTATATGCCCCTCACACCATGCGGTGAAGTAGGTGTTACTGTGATCGTTCCCATCTTACAGGTGAGGGCGTGAAGCATCAAGCACGGTATACAGCAACATTGCTAGGGAGAAGTGCAGCTGAGACTTCAAACCATGCCATCCGGAAACTACACTCCTCCCACTATGCCATGCAGGCTAGGCGCTCTCTCTGATTTGGCAAAAATGAATCTGGATATTTAGGAAAAGATCCCTGTCATTTTAAGTATTTGTGAACAAGAGAAAAAGTAAGAGTGGGTCAGGGGTGAGAATAAGGGGAAAGCTGCCCGATAGGTTGATGTAGATCCTGAGCAGGACAAAAACACCCTCTTTGCGGTTCTCCTTGCAAATAGTCATTAGAAACATCATCTTGGCCGGGCACGGTGGCTTACACCTGCAATCCCAGCAGTTTGGGAGGCCAAGGTGGGCGGATCGCTTGAGGTCAGGAGTTCAAGACCAGCCTGGCCAACATGGCAAAACCCCGACTCTACCAAAAATACAAAAATTAGCCAGGCATGGTGGTGGGTGCCTGTAATCCCAGCTACGTGGGAGGCTGAGGCAGGAGAATCACTTGAACCCAGGAAGTGGAGGTTGCAATGTGCTGAGATTGCACCACTACACTCCAGCCTGGGTAACAGAGTGACACTGTCACACACACGCACACGCACACACACACACACACGCATGCACAAGTGAAATATTCTCTCCCCAGGGATTAAAACAAATGAATTACAATGCTGTCTTTCCTACTGTCTCCACATATGCAGTGGCTTGTAGGGGAGAAGTAGCTGTACTCAAGCCCCTGATAAATAAACCCTGAGTGCAGGGAACTACTCTGGCTCTTGCAGACTGACATTACCCAAGGTCAGAGGAATACAGCCAGCTGCTACAATTTTCTCATAGGCCTCTTGAATTCGCCGGCAGCTGTCCTGAAGGTTGTAAAGATTGACATTCACATCGCCTAGGTCTGCAACCATGAGGGACTGGAAGGGGAGGGCCCCCGTGCTAGGATTGACTGTCCGAAGCATCACTGATTCTTCCCGGATGCGGCGAGGTCCGAATCTGCCGAAGGAAGAATCGTCCTATCAGCCATCTGCAGAGATTTCAGGCCCTGCTTTGGCCAGGGTTTCTCAGCCTCAGCAATTTGGGACCAGATGATTCCATGTTGCAGTACTGCATAATGGAATGTTTAGCAGCATCCCTGGCCTGTACTCACTAGGTGCCAGTAGCACCCTTCCTCCAAGGTGTAACAACCAAAAATGCCTCCAGATATTGCCAAATGTCCCGAGTGCAAAACCGCCCCACTTGAGAATCACTGATCTAGGCGATATATTGAAGAGACTAAATAAGTGTACTAAATGGCATTAGCCAATTTCATGATCTACCTGAGTCTCAGTTTGCTAATCTGTAAAATATTTACCTTGCACCATAGTAAGAATTAAATGAGGTAATCTATGCAAAGCAGCTTGCACTTAGGAGACATTTAATAAGTGCTGGCTTTCATAATTCAGATCAGGGCAGTCAGATATAGTGTTGCTGAGCTGAAGCAGAAATTGCTGTATGTTCAATAATTAGGAAAATGAATTTTGCCTCCTCCGACTTGATCCTAGGAAAACTGCCTTCATTTGAGCATTTCTTGAGTCAGGTCACATCTAGAGATTTGGGGAAGGGGCAGCCAGTTTCTGCTCTCAAATGCAATGTCACCTGCCACTGTAAGCTGGGGCGAGGAGAGGAATCCACAGCAGCCATCCCAGCAAGGCCCCAGGATGGGGACACAGAGAAGGTTCAGGCTTCAGAATCCCTTTTTATTTTTCTTTTTTTCTTTTTTTTTCTTTTATTTTTTGAGACGGAGTCTCACCCTGTTCTCCAGGCTGTAGTGCAGTGGCGTGATCTCAGCTCACTGCAACCTCCGCCTCCCCGGTTCAAGCGATTCTCCTGCGTTAGGGTCCCGAGCAGCTGGGATTACAGGCCTGTGCGACCACACCCGGCTTTTTTTTTTTTTTGTACCTTTGTAGAGGCAGAGTTTCACCATGTTGGCCAGGATGGTCTCAAACTCCTGACCTCATGATCCGCCCTCCTCGGCCTCCCAAAGTGCTGGGATTACAGGCATGAGCCACCGGGCAAGCCAAAATCCCTTCTTTACCAATTATGACACTAAGACGTGGGAGGCCACGCCCACGTTGAGCCCTGGGGGTCGCTTGTTGAGGGTCCAGGGAACTCAACCATCTCAAACCATAAGGGGTATTTTGGAACCGGCCACCAGCTTCCAACTCGACCCGAGGCCAGCAGGGGCGCCTGTCCCGGTGCCTTCCATGCCCGACAGCCATCAAGCAGTCCCTCCACGTGTCCCCGGCACCAGCCCTTTAGGCCTTACCTCGCCCCAGGCCGGTTGGAGGTCCCAGTATCCAGGGGCACCCCGATGAAGGCAGCGTCCAGCCCCTCGGGGGAGGTCTGCACCGGCAGGCGCATCATGGAGCAGACGCCCACCGACCGGGCCACCAACTCGGGGCTGGGGGGCTGGTTCCGGGGCGCGTCGGAAGCCTGGCGGCTCTGGCGGAGCCCGGGGTGGCAGAGCCCTGCAACAGGACGCGCGCCCACGCCGGGCCCCGGCCCCCGGGCGCAGCCGGACGCCAGCAGCCGCAGCATTGCCGCGCGCGGCCCCGACCTCACCAACCAGACAGCCCGCGAGGCCGCCGCGATCTGGCTGGTCCCGAAAGGCGAGGCGAATGTGCACGCGCCGGAGCCGGAGCCTGAGCCGGCTCAAAGGTCAGGGGCGCCCTGGGATCAAGGCGGGGGAAGGGCCCAGGGACCGGCCGTGCTTTCCCCTCAACCCCTCTGGACTTCAGCCTCTGGTAAATAGAGTCAGGCTGGGGGCGCCCACTGGCCGGTACTGTGCCAGGGGTGTCTGCGCCCTGCTCCCCACTGTGGCCTTCAGCAACCTCTTCTCCCTTTCAGAGTAATTTTGGGGTTTTTGTTTGTTTGTTTTGTTTTGTTTTGTTTTAGACGGAGTCTCGCTCTGTCACCCAGGCTGGAGTGCAGTGGCGCCATCTCAGCTCACTGAGAACTCCGCCTCCTGGGTTCATGCCATTCTCCTGCCTCAGCCTCCCGAGTAGCTGGAACTACAGGCACCTGCCACCATGCCCGGCTAATTTTTTTGTATTTTTAGTAGAGACGGGGTTTCACCGTGTTAGCCAGGGTGGTCTCGATCTCCTGACCTCATGATCCGACCGTCTCAGCCTCCCAAAGTGCGGGATTACAGGCCTGAGCCACTGCACCCGGCCTTGTTTTTATAGATATGATCTCACTATGTTCGCCAGACTAGTCTCGAACTTCTGGACTCAAGTGATGCTCCCACCTTGGCCTCCCAAAGTGCTGGGATTACAGGTGTGAACCACAGCAGCCATCCCAGAGTAATATTTTTAAAGCCAGAAAGATGTGAAGGAAAAAGATCTTTCTCTAAGCCAGAAAAATAGGAAATGCATTTTTTAAAAATAATAATGTATTTTTAAATGTCCACGGATAGGAGTCTCAAGAAGCAGTAAAGTTAGTTAGTTAGTTAGTTAGCTACTTAGCTAGCTAGCTATCTAGTTCGTTATTTTGAGACACGGTCTTGCTCTGCTGCTCAGGCCGGAGTGCAGTGGCGAGTCCCATGACTGCAGCCTCAAACTGCTGGGCTCAGGGGATCCCCTCACCTCAGCCTCCTGAGTAGTTGGGAGTACAGGCATGAGCCATCCTGCCTGGCCAGTAAAGTCTTTTTAAATAACCTTGTTAAAAAAGGACTTAAAGGCAAGCTGTAGGGAAGGTCACAGTATCAGAGAGCCCGCTACCTTCTCTCTATTTCTAAGGGGAAAGAAAAACGCTGGGGAAAGAAAGAAGTGATTTGTAATGGAATTATGTGAGCCATTTAGCAGTATTATATATATTTTTCTGATCTGGTCTTGAACTCCTCAAGGGATCCTCCCACCTTGGCCTCCCAAAGTGCTAGTATTACAGGTATGAGCCACCACACCTGGCCTCAATAATTGTAATAGTGTAAAGGAGTCTTGAGATTTAAAAAAGCGAAAACATCTGAGAACTGCTAGCTTCAGTCAGTGGTTTCATAGTATTGTTTGTGAGAAACATTTTTATCAGTTTCCTGGAGTGTCTGTTAAAATTCAGATTCCTGGACCCCATCCCAAACTACAGAATTAGAATCTATCAAATGTTTTCACCTGGGTGTGGTGGCTCACACCTGTAATCCCAGCACACTGGGAGGCCGACGGTGGCAGATCACTTGAGGTCAGGAGTTCGAGAACAGCCTGGCCAACATGGTAAAACCCCATCTCTACTAAAAATGCAAAAATTACCCGGGCATGGTGGCAGGCGCCTGTAATCCCGGCTACTCAGGAGGCTAAGGCACGAGAATCACCTGAACCTGGGAGGCAGAGGTTGCAGTGAGCCGAGATAGTGCCACTGTACTCCAGTTGGGTGACAGAGTGAAATCCTGTCTCAAAAAAAGAAAAATGTGTTTAGCTGGGTGTGGTGGCTCATGCCTGTAATCCTAGCACTTTGGGAGGCCAAGATGGCAGGATTGCTTGAGACCAGGAGTTTGAGACCAGCCTGGGCAACATAATGAGACCTTATCTCTATAAAAAAAATCTAAAAAAAAGTTAGCTGGGCATGGTGGTGCATGCCTCTTGTCCTAGGTACTCAGGCGGCTGAGGTGGGAAGATTGCTTGAGCCCAGGAGGTAGGTAGATGCTGCAGTGAGCCATGATCACACCACTGCACTCCAACGTGGGCAACAGAGTGAGACTCTGTCTCTAAATAAATAAATAAAAATACAGACTGGGTCGGGTGTGGTGGCTCACGCCTGTAATCCCAGCACTTTAGGAGGCCAAGGCAGGCGGACCACAAGGTCAAGAGTTCAAGACCAGCCTGGCCAAGAGACTAGCCTGGCCAATATGGTGAAACCTCATCTCTAACAAAAATACAAAAATTAGCCGGGCGTGGTGGCAGGCACCTGTAATCCCAGCTACTCGGGAGGCTGAGGCAGGAGAATCACTTGAACCTGGGAGACGGAGGTTGCGGTGAGCCGAGATTGTGCCATTGCACTCCAGTCTGGGCAACAAGAGTGAAACTCCATCTCATTAAAAAAAAAAAAAATTTAGCCAGGTGCATGGTGCACACCTGTGATCCCAGCTACTCGGGAGGCTGAAGCAGGAGAATCGCTTGAACCCAGGAGGCAGAAGTTGCAGCGAGCTGATATCGCGCCACTGCACTGCAGCCTGGGTGACAGAGCGAGACTTCATCTGAAAAACAAAACAAAACAAACAAAACCTGATATTAAACAGCTACCTTCACAGAAAAGCTAAAACTTGGCCAGGTGTAGTGACTCATGACTATAATCCCAGCACTCTGGGAGACCAAGGAGGGAGGACCTGTTTGAGCCCAGGAGTGTAAGATCAGCCTGGTCAACATAGCGAGAAATGAGACGCCATCTCTTTTTTTTTTGAGACAGTCTTGCTCGGTCGCCCGGGCTGGAGGTCAGCAGTGCGATCTTGGCTCACTTCTACCTCCGCCTCCTGAGTTAAAGTGATTCTCCTGCCTCAGCCTCCTGAGTAGCTGGGACTACAACCATGCGCCACCATGCCCGGCTAATTTTTGTATGTATTATTTATTTGTATTTATTTGTATTAATTTTTGTATTAGCTCAATATTTAATGCTTTCCCTAATAATTTGATTTTTTTCCAAATCATAATTATATAATATGTAGAAAATATCAATTTTTTTCACCAAATCCGATAGGGATCCAAACTCCCTCCATTTAACTTCAGTGAGAGATACAAATTGTATCAGTTTCTATGTATGCCATGACAGGAAGAAGGTTGGGATATACCCGTTGAGTAAACTATAACTTCCAGTATCTGCTTCAACCTTCTGGGTGTCCTCCAAGGGCAGTACCTTGTAAAACACAAGTAAATGTTTTTTGAGTGACTGAATGATTGAACAGATCTTCTAGAACTGTGTAAAGCAGCTCTGGGGTGATGAGTATCTCAGTCAATAAAACTGACAGCCTGAGTGTGGGGAAAACACCGTGTGCATTTCAGCCGTCTGCATGGATTGATTCCATTTGGCCTGCTGAATGGTGAGGCAAGGGCTCTGCAGAAGGAGTCAACACTGGACTTGTCTATGCTTGTGGAAGCTCAGAAATGACCCTGCAGCAACTCCAGCCTCCCCAGGCTGCCTGGCTGGGGGCTTTCTGTGACGCTCATTCACCTTGCTATATCCTCAACACTCATCTTCACCTTCTCTGTCCCCTAGTCCTAAATAAAAACATATTGTTTAGCATGTTCAGAATACTTTCATCTGTTAAAGAAAAAAATTAGCTGGCCGGGCGCGGTGGCTCACACCTGTAATCCCAGCACTTTGGGAGGCCGAGGCGGGCAGATCACCTGAGGTCAGGAGTTGGAGACCAGCCTGGCCAACATGGAGAAACTCTGCCTCTACTAAAAATATAAAAATTAGCCAGGTGTGGTGGCGTGTGCCTGTAATTACTCCCAGCTACTCAGGAGGCTGAGGCAGGAGAATTGCTAGAATCCAGGAGGTGGAAGTTGCAGTGAGCTGAGATAGCACCACTACTCCAGCCTGGGTGACAGGGTGAGACTCTGTCTCAAAAAAAAAAGGAAGGAAGAAAAAAGAAAAAGAAAGAAAAGAAAAAAAAAGAAAAAGAAAAAAATTAGCCTGGGCAACATAGTGAGACCCTGTCTCTAAAAAAAAAAAAAAAAATTTTTAAATTGGCTAGGCACAGCGGCACATGCCTATAGTCCAGCTACTCAGGAGGCTGACGTAGGAGGATTGCTGGATCCCAGGAGGTGGAGACTGCAGTGCGCTGTGTTTGCACCACTGCACTGCAGCCTGAACAACAAATCAAGACCCTGACAGAAAAAGAAAAAAAAAGATAAAAGAAAAAAGTATCTAATGAACCTTGTTAAAGCATGGTAAGGAAAACTTTATTCAGGACCCTTGAGATAGGTATAGTGACCACTGCAATGGAATCCTGTAGTTGAGGAGAGCGACTGGGCTCTCAACCCAATGTAGTATGAAAGGAAAAGAAAATCCCGGGACCCCAGACTCACTATGCCAAAGGGAAAAGTTAAGCTTGGGAACTGAGTATGTAAAAAATTGCACTTTTTTTTTTTTTGTTCCTGAAAGGTAGCTGCAAGACAGAGGCCGTATATCTCCCAGGTGACCTCCCTCATCCTGACAATATAAATGAACAGCTTATTTTCACAAGTAAGGGACAAAGATAAAACTGGGGATCATTCCCCCGACCCCCGACCCCCACCCCTGCCAACCTGGAGACAAACGCGTATTTGACTTCTTCCTCTACTGTGTTTGGTTATTTAATGTAAAAATGTGGATTTTCTGAATAATTTTATGAATAATTGACTGTTCCTCTTTCCTCTCCTGCCCGCTTTTTCCCATTTAAATACTGAAGTTCTCAAAATCCTCTTGGGAAAGAGCGCAGGCCACAGATACTACTGTAGCTTGTGTCTTTCCCAGACACATCCTCAACCTTGGCAAAATAAACTTGTCTGAGACCTGTCTCAGACACTATTTGGTTTACGACAGCATGGCAAGTAGGAATGTATAGCCAAAAAGCCAGGTGGGGTCCGAAAATTTGGCCAAGCAAAGAATCTTTGTGGTCCGGCACGGTGGTTCACGCCTGTAATCTGAGCACTTTGGGAGGCTGAGGCAGGTGGATCACTTGAGGTCAGGAGCTCAAGACCAGCCTGGCCAACATGGTGAAACATTGTCTGTACTAAAAATACAAAAATTAGCTGGGCATGGCGGTAGGCGCCTGTAATCCCAGCTACTTGGGAGGCTGAGGCAGGAGAATTGCTTGAACCTGGGAGGTGGAGGTTGCAGGGAGCTAAGGTCACACCACCGCACTCCAGCCTGGCCAACAGATCGATAGTCCATCTCAAAAAAAAAAAAAATCTTTGTGACATTAAAGCTTGTCAAAATC